GAGCCCGCTCCCCAGAGCCCTCTGCTACGACACATGGTTAGAGATGTCCCAGCCAACCGAACTGCTGCGGGGCCCACGGATAGCAATACACCTTTTACGGGCACCTTAATGCTTCCCTCAAAGTGGCAAGCTGCAGTAGAAAAGCTTTGTAGCATGGACAAGAGCCAACAGTGGGCACTAAACCCTCGCCACTCCCAACACTGCCTGCATGGGCATTGAACCTGGGCATCGATTTGGGAGGGATCCAAAGTGCCTTTTACTATTTTCTGTCTGTGTGGAAGGAGGACACGGACTGTACAGATACACACGATCATCAAAAACAAAGAAGCAGAAAGACATACAGAAAGGAACACTTAACAGCTTTGTTTTCTCTTGGAACCAGCCAGGAAGAGTTGTGTGATCCTGGAAAGAGAGGAACAACCACGGGGTTAAGATTCAGGTGGGAACCATTTCACAAACCTTACTGTTCCCAAACTTAAGGAGGTTGATTCAGACTCCAGGAAACCTAGTCACTTCAAAAATACTGATATGGAGAAACGAAGCATAAAGAATTAAACAGCAGCTTGAAGTTTGGTCAGAAAAAGCTTTTCAGTGAGATGTACTCACTGCGAATAAGAATCAGAGGAAGAGAGCTGCTTGATGAAAGCCTCTACCAACAACAACAAAAAGAAACCCTAGAGAACGAACTGAACAACAACGGTTTTAATGTGGAAAGAGAGGGGGGTCTGGCTGCAACTATTTTCTTTTATCTAAGCAGCTTTATCGCAGCATCAAGCTCTTTCTCTATAAATCTTAAAGTTTGGCTTAGAGATGACAGAAGAGCACAAAAAAAAAGCATCGGTCTAAAGAACACGAGTACGACTGAAACGCTAGCCCTCAGCACAGAAACTGGTATTAATCTGTGGCAAAGGGAATCTTGAGAAAGACAGTAGCAATACGACAGTTCCCAGTTCGTTATTTATTTGTGCAACCGCTGGTTAAGAATGCAGCTTTCTGCGAGCAGCACATGGCTGCAAAGAAAGCCGATGTCAGCAGAATCACGGTGTGATTAACATTCAGCTATTCCAGTTTTGCAAGGCACCGGTACAAATTAAGACGGTACCAGTCAGAATGGTAACATCCCTCGTTTTAAGCTGAAATAGATTTCACATAAATTTCTATTTGTTTTTCAGACAACCTTCTGCCAGTTTTCATCTGAAATTTCTGCTACCCTTAGCTTGCAAGTAACACCTACAGCATTCGAGCAGCAGCGATACATTACAGCTGTTTTTCACGTACTCGTTGTATCCGAACACCTACATACCCACGGACACGATGGTATAAGCGTTGTATTAAACATGCCGAAAAAGATGCCTCTGTACTTTGATGACATCAGACTTTAACTCATGTTCTAACTACAGTAGCTCCCTGTGTTTAAATATTTGTCTGAGTTCTTTCACACTGAATATGTATGTTCCCCTCTCAGTTCTCAGCATTCAGGTCTACCTATTTCTCGTGCTCCTCTACTTTCCCTTCTGTAAGTTGTGCAAGAGGCTCATCAACGTAAATATTTCCTTCCATTTCTGCCTGATGAAAGAAGCAGCACGGAGTTTAAACCAAAACAAAATACCAGAACAAAACTCACCGACGACACAATAAAGTTTTTCCATTGTGCAAAGTAAGTTCACATAAAGAAGCATCAGCCAGGGCAGCACATAAACCCACCAGCTTCGTGCAAATCTGTCAGCTCAGCAGAACCAGTCCTACCTGTTTCCAGAGCCTCACTGCCCCAGAGGGGATGGACCCCCCAGCCCCCCCGCAAGTACAACTGCCTGTCAGACACCAGCACGCATCCGCGCAGAGAGATGTAAGCT